CAGGATGGGGCACTATTCACTGACACCCTCTTCCACTGACACCAACAATGGGGCACTATTCCTTTCACTGGGACAGACAGACAGGATGGGGCATTATTTCTTCCAGGATGCCATAAACGATGGGGCACTATTCCTTCCACTGACACCATGGGCACTATTCATTCTACTGACACCAAATGGGGCATTATTCCTCCCACTGACACCAACTATGGCACACTGTTCCTCCACTGACACCAGCAATGAGGCACTATTCCTATCCCAATGGCACCAAGCAATGGGACACATTTTTCCATTCTTAAACTGACACCATGATGGGACACCAACACTGTTTTTGACACCAAAACTGACACATTCCTACACAATGGGACACAATTTCCTTCCACTGACACCCAGGATGGGGTACACCATTCCTCAAAATGACACCATACGATGGGAACACTATTCCTCCCATTCACTGACACCTTTGATAGACAAAGATGGGCACTATTCCTCCTATGTGGACACCGTACGACGATCGGTGTTCCACTGTGTCCGGAGGACACATTGGCACCGGATCGCAGTGCTGCGCACTATCCCTTCCACGCACAACAATGGGAGCGGGGGAGGCCATTTATAAACTGCCACACCCAGGCATGCCACGGCCATTGATATACACTGGCCAATGGACACAATTGGTTAACACACTGAGCGAAAGTAATGGGCCAAAATGCATGGTACAAATACACAAATGTTTCCTATTTGACAAAATATGGGGCACATCATTTTTCAGACCTCTCTGACATTTACCACTATGGGGCACTACCCTTGGCAGAGAATGATGACTATTCCTTGTGTAAGTGGGCCTCTGATTTCTCATTTACTGCTACACCCAACTATGGGATTTATCAAATTGTGATTCCACTGATATAAAATGGTAATATGAAGCCCTGATCACATTCACGTTCCACTGCGTGGGGACACAGCGGGCTCATTCATTTGAATGGACTCCCGTGCTCCCAGGACACGCAAGGAAGAAGTCCCTGCACTGCATTTGGAAACCGACCCGCCCACGGGAAACTGTTCCCCGTACGGTGGCATTTTCCAGTGCAACGTGCCATTAAAATGAATGGGACACGCACGGGTCCGCATTCTTCTGTGTGGGTGGTGCATGGTGCACAATTGAACACCTTAATGTTGTGTGATCTGAAAATATAAACATGTATTCACCTAGGTGGCTGCAGCCCTGATCTAATTCTGCATCCTATCCCCTGCCAGCTCTACACTTTGAGAACTGAGTGATCAAAGATCGCTCAGTTCTCGGGTCCACCACTCTGATTTGAGAGCCCTGAAAGTTACCGCTCTATGCTCTGTCCCTCCAGCACTCACTGGAGCGCTGGGCTATGGAGGGGCCCTCAGCTAACTCACTCTTGGCTGCTGAGCTGATAGGATGAGCCAGCTGCCAGCATCTGGGGTGAATCCCTCATTTGTCGGGATCCCTGCAGAGCCTGGACCAGCTCTGTGACATCAGTCAACCTGGACTGTGTTGGCTGAATCTGGATCACAGGAGTGCAGAACTACACAGCAGACATATGGCCAGAAGTGCCTTGGTACGCAATTTCGTTCCAGCATGTGATTGGCCATTGTAATTTGAATGGACACCCGTCCCCGGGAACTAAATTCTGACAGTGTAGTTTTCCCTGCGGCTGCAATATCCATTGGAACCTCCTTAATGTGAACGAAAAAAAATAAACATATTTAAAGTACTTTGGAAGCGCATTCTATAATTTCTGATGGCATTATCCAATATACGATTGAGATTAAACACTGAGAACAGTCCTGCAAAAATTACAATCAGTGTATGGTCCACTTGTTACTTTGTTCAGTAACCAATACTCTGCACTATGTTACTTTGTTACTGCAGTACTTGTTACTTTGCCCAGAATAGGTAAATTCGATGCATGACTAACTCCCCTGACCTTGTGCTATTAAGAACCTGGGATGGGACAGTGCCAGATTGGGGTCCTATGTACAGTATGTAACTGGGATGAAAGGACATGGATATTGGTCCTATGGGTCAACTGGGATAGGGACATTGTGATTGGTCCTATGGGAAACTGGATCACAGGGACATTTGATTGGTCCTAGGTGTATACCTGGAATAGGGACATTTGATTGGTCCTATGGGTATAACTGGGATTAGGGACATTTTATTGTCCTATGGGTATAACTGGGATAGAGACATTTGATTGGTCCTATGGGTATAACTGGGATAGGGACATTTGATTGGTCCTATGGGTATAACTGAAATAGGGACATTTGATTGGTCCTATGGGTATAACTGGATTAGGGACATTCGATTGGTCCTATGTGTATAACTGGAGTGACATTCGATTGGTCCTATGGGTATAACTGGGAATAGGGACATTCGATTGGTCCTATGGGTATAACTGGGATAGGGACATTCGAGTGGTCCTATGGGTATAACTGGATATAGGGACATTTGATTGGTCCTATGGTTATTTAAACTGGGATAGGGACATTCGATTGGTCCTATGGGTATAACTGGGATAGGGGACATTTGATTGGTCCTATGTGTATAACTGGGACAGGGACATTTGATTGGTCCTATGTGTATAACTGTAATAGGGACATTTGATTGGTCCTATGGGTATAACCTGGGGATATGGACATTTGATTGGTCCTATGGGTATACCTGGGATAGGGACATTTGATTGGTCCTATGGTATAACTGGGATTAGGGACATTTTATTGGTCCTATGGGTATAACTGGGATAGGGACATTTGATTGGTCCTATGTGTATAACTGGGAAAGGGACATTTGATTGGTCCTATGGGTATACCTGGAATAGGGACATTTGATTGGTCCTATGGGTATACCTGGAATAGGGACATTTGATTGGTCTATGGGTATAACTGGGATAGGGACATTTTGATTGGTCCCTATGGGTATACCTGGGATAGGGACATTTGATTGGTCCTATGGGTATACCTGGAATAGGGACATTTGATTGGTCCTATGGGTATAACTGGAATAGGGACATTTGATTGGTCCTATGGGTATAACTGGGATAGGGACATTTGATTGGTCCTATGGGTATAACTGGGATAGGGACATTTGATTGGTCCTATGGGTATACCTGGAATAGGGACATTTGATTGGTCCTATGGGTATAACTGGGATTAGGGACATTTGATTGGTCCTATGGGTATAACTGGGATAGGGACATTTGATTGGTCCTATGGGTATAACTGGGATAGGACATTTGATTGGTCCTATGGGTATACCTGGAATAGGGACATTTGATTGGTCCTATGGGTATAACTGGATAGGGACATTTGATTGGTCCTATGTGTATAACTGGGACAGGGACATTCGATTGGTCCTATGGGTATAACTGGGATAGGGACATTTGATTGGTCCTATGGGTATAACTGGGATAGGGACATTTGATTGGTCCTATGGGTATAACTGGATTAGGGACATTTTGATTGGTCCTATGGGTATAACTGGGATAGAGACATTTGATTGGTCCTATGTGTATAACTGGGATAGGGACATTTGATTGGTCCTATGGGTATAACTGGGATAGGGACATTTGATTGGTCCTATGGGTATAACTGTAATAGGGACATTTGATTGGTCCTATGGGTATAACCTGGGATAGGGACATTTGATTGGTCCTATGGGTATACCTGGGATAGGGAACATTTGATTGGTCCTATGGGTATAACTGGGATAGGGACATTTGATTGGTCCTATGTGTATAACTGGGATTAGGGACATTTTATTGGTCCTATGGGTATAACTGGGATAGAGACATTTGATTGGTCCTAGTGTATAACTGGGAAAACATTTGATTGGTCCTATGGGTATACCTGGAATAGGGACAATTGATTGTCCTATGGGTATACCTGTAGAATAGGGACATTTGATTGGTCTATGGGTATAACTGGGATAGGAGAATTTGATTGGTCCTATGGGTATACCTGGAATAGGGACATTTGATTGGTCCTATGGGTATACAATGGGAAGAGGAGCATGTGATCCCCTCTTGTGCCATTAGAATGCATTTGATTTTATTGATATTTTCTTTGGACTTAATGAGGGACACTTTATTTCCTATTTTATAACTGGAATAGGGACATTTGATTGGTCCTATGGGTATAACTGGGATAGGGACATTTGATTGGTCCTATGGGTATAACTGGAATAGGGACATTTGATTGGTCCTATGGGTATAACTGGAATAGGGACATTTGATTGGTCCTATGCGTATACCTGGAATAGGGACATTTGATTGGTCCTGTGGGGTATACCTGGGATAGGGACATTCGATTGGTCACTTGTGTTAGTCTAACTGTGGTTCGGGCATTGGAGTAGTTCTTTCATTATAGCTGGGTAAGGACACTAGGTTGTTCATGGGTTTGTGTCTTTATAACTGGGGTAAGGGTATTAAATTGGTCATTTGTCTGTGTATAATCAGGGAAAGGACTTTAGACTGTAAAGGCTCTTTCACAAGGATGGCAATCTCTACCACCCTCTCTGAAAAGCGATACAGTGTGGATCGCTTTTCAGACAGCAGTAGGGTAGTGGCTTTTTTTTTCTTAATTTCATCCCAAGGGGTATTTTGTATTAAAATACCGTGTTACAACTGCAAGCCAGTGGGCCGCCTCACAGTTGTGGTGTGGTCCCATTCACCCCAATGGGCAAGTTCAACAGGAGGTGCCACCAGTCAAGCTCTGCAAGCCAAAGTAAACTTGCCATAGCATTGTGAACTACGCTGTCCAGCTGCAAAGTCAGAATTTAGGTGGGTGGTTGGGGTGCAATAAAAATGCAGATTAGCTGCCTGCTTTTACCTCCCCTTTGCCATCCTTGTAAAATGGTCCTAAGATCTTTTGGAGGCACAAACTGGTGTGCAGAAATAATAAATACATGAATTAAAGAAATCAAAAATTAACAAACATCTTTCTCTTCTTATATTGTTAAGGTACTAGCAGAAAATATTCTGAGTCAACAGTATGAAAGTCAGATCCGCCCTTGTATTGATCTCATTGACTCGCTGAGGGCGCTGGGCGTGGAGAAGGACTTGGCCTTACCAGCGATCGCTGTGATTGGTGATCAGAGTTCTGGGAAAAGCTCTGTGCTGGAGGCTCTGTCCGGAGTGTGTCTTCCCAGAGGCAGCGGTAAGTTCCTGCATGTTCTAGTATTGGCACGTCATCCCGTATTTGCATTAGTTGCCTGAGTGTGCTGCCTTCCTCCCATAATCCATAAACGTGGTGGCTTTGATTGGCTGATTATCGTTGAACCTGATTGGCCCAAAGGTGCAAGGTTGGTAGGGTCATTCAACTGTAAGCATCTTCAGAGTCAGTTCAGTAACAATCCTACATTTCAACTTCCCACTATCCTGAATCTGCTGCTGTTTGTGCCCTGGAAAAAATTAATGATCCTTCATTTTCTAGTTTCCCATTTCTCTGCTGTGAGAGAGAGGCTCTCAAATGTGATGCCACGCGTCAGCAGGGCCAGTGACATCATCGCGCCCCACATATTTGAAGCACAAGAGCACTTGTTTATGAGCCCTGGAGATGGATGTAAAATGGCTGATAGTTTTTTACCTTCCTGCATTCTATGCAGGAAGGTAAAAAACCTTCTGTGTGCAGCAGCTCCCCCAGCCCCCTCAATACTTACTTGAGCCTCCAGCAATCTGCAGGACCGCCTCTGCCTCGGGTCTCTGCATTCTCACTGGCTGAGACAGCAAACGGGAGCCGGTCAGTCAATGAGGAAAGGGGGGGGGGGGGGGGGGGCGAGGGCCAAGCCACGGCTCCATGTGTGAATGTACACACGGAGCAGCAGGTGCCCCCATAGCAAGCTGCTTGCTGTGGGGACACCCAACAGACAGGAGGAGCCAGGAGAGCATGTGGGGACCTGAGAAGAGAAGGATCTTGGCTGCTCTGTGCAAATCCACTGCACACAACAGGTAAGTATAGACATTTTATACTTTAGAATCACTTTAATTTACTGATTATATTTGATTGCAATTGCATTTTTTATTTCTTTTTATTACATATGTTAGGTTGTTGCTGTGATTTATTAGTATCAGTGTTCACAACATACTTCCAGTATGCGGGAAAATTTTATGGGGTTTTTTTTTTTTTTTTTTTATATAGAGGTTTGATTTTCTTAGTGATAGCAGAGCTGCACTTTATGAAATGACACACCAGAAACAGACTTCTACCTCCCCATCACTTTTTTTTTTTCGTTAAAAATAGGGGGGCAGTTAAACAAGACAAACTGTAAGAACTTGCACACTTTTTGTTTTAATGTACTTGGAATCATTTTAATTACATTACACACTAAATGAAAATAACATGACGCTGAAAAACTTTGTAAAATGATTTTATTCGCACTTCCTGCAGGTATCGTCACACGTTGTCCTCTGGAACTCAAACTGAAAAAGTCCCTGAAGGGTATAGAGTGGTCTGGCAAAATCAGCTATCAGGGGGAATCCATAGACATTGAAAGCCCAGCTGAAGTGGAGGATGAAGTCCGGAAGGGTAAGCGCTCTGTGTGGCTGTATGGATGTAATGCTGTGACAACTACCTCCAAATATAATGTCATATCGTAGAAGGGTATATAAAGGGTGGGACTATACCAACATATTAGTAATACCACAACTGTCCCACACAGGTTACATGTAAGCCTCTTAATATTGTTCTACTGAATAATGACCCAAACAAGATGAGAAAGGATAAAAAGTAACGTATTTACTTAAAGTATTACTAAACCCACAACAGTATAAATCAGTCTGTATATACAGTAAAGCATGCTTGTTATACTCACTGTGGAACCTAACCTTGGGAGAGTGCAAGTGATCAGAACAGGGCCAATCAGCACTGTCCAGAGAGAGGTCAGGGGTTCTGCATCTTCCTAGAGCAACATGAAAACTCCATCTACAAGACTATTTGATCCTGATTTCTCTGATCTTCCAGTGTCCCCTCTTATCTCCTGATAAGACATAGTGTGTGGAGACACTCTGCACATGCTCAGTTTGTGTGTATTGCTAGAGAGGTTTTTTCTTTCTTGTGAGTGTGCATGTGATCAGAACAGAGCCAATCAGCACTGTGCAGACAGAGGTCAAGGGTTTTGCATCCTCCTAAAGCAACATGAAAACTCCTCCTACAAGCCTGTTTGATCCTAATTTCTCTGCTTTTCCAGTGCCCCCCTCTTATCTCCTGATAAGACATAGCTGTGGAGACACTCTGCACATGCTCAGTTTGGTGTGTATTGATAGGTTATTTATTTTTCTTTGTGGGAGAGTGCATGTTATCAGAACAGGGCCAATAAGCACTGTCAAGACAGAGGTCAGGGGTTCTGCATCCTCCTAGAGCAACATGAAGACTTATCAGATCTTCCAGTGCCCCCCTCGTATCTCCTGATAAGACATAGCGTTTGGAGACACTCTGTACATGCTCAGCAATCAGCACTGTCCAGACTGAGGGTCCGGGGTTCTGCATCCTCCTAGAGCAGCATGAAAACTCCTCCTACAAGCTTTAACCAGTGCTCGGCTGGACACTGATAGAAGTCACAAGACTGCTATATACTGCTGATGAGAAAAGTTATTTAGTAGTTTAAATGTACTATAATAATTGCATTTCCATGTTCTGTGGGAGACCAGATATAGTGAATGCAGGGTCTGGGGAGAGCAGATATAAGGGAATGCAGAGTCCGGGGAGAGAGCGGATATAGTGAATGCAGGGTCCTGGGATACCAGATATAGTGAATGCAGGGTCCGGGGATACCAGATATAGTGAATGCAGAGTCTGGGGAGACCAGATATAGTGAATGCAGGGTCCTGGATACCAGATATAGTGAATGCAGGGTCCGGGGATACCAGATATAGTGAATGCAGAGTCTGGGGAGACCAGATATAGTGAATGCAGGGTCCTGGGATACCAGATATAGTGAATGCAGGGTCCGGGGATACCAGATATAGTGAATGCAGGGTCCGGGGAGACCAGATATAGTGAATGCAGGGTCCGGGGAGACCGGATATAGTGAATGCAGGGTCCGGGGAGACCGGATATAGTGAATGCAGGGTCCGGGGGAGACCAAATATAGTGAATGCAGGGTCCGGGGAGACCGGATATAGTGAATGCAGGGTCCAGGGAGAGCATATATAGTGAATGCAGGGTCCGGGGAGACAGATATGGGGAATGCAGGGTCGGGGAGACCGGATATAGTGAATGCAGGGTCAGGGGAGACCAGATATAGTGAATGCAGGGTCCGGGGAGACCAGATATGGGGAATGCAGGGTCCGGGGAGACCGGATATAGTGAATGCAGGGTCCGGGGAGACCGGATATAGTGAATGCAGGGTCCGGGGGAGAGCATATATAGTGAATGCAGGGTCCGGGGAGACAAGATATAGTGAATGCAGGGTCCGGGGAGACCAGATATAGTGAATGCAGGGTCCAAGGAGACCAGATATGGGGAATGCAGGTCCGGGGAGACCGGATATAGTGAATGCAGGATCCGGGGAGACCGGATATAGTGAATGCAGGGTCCGGGGAGACCAGATATAGTGAATGCAGGGTCCGGGGGAGACCGGATATAATGAATGCATGGGTCCGGGGAGACCGGATATAGTGAATGCAGGATCCGGGGAGACCGGATATAGTGAATGCAGGATCCGGGGAGACCGGATATAGTGAATGCAGGGTCCGGGGAGACCGGATATAGTGAATGCAGGGTCCGGGGAGACCGGATATAATGAATGCATGGGTCCGGGGAGACCGGATATAGTGAATGCAGGGTCCGGGGAGACCGGATATAGTGAATGCAGGGTCCGGGGAGACCGGATATAGTGAATGCAGGGTCGGGGAGACCGGATATAGTGAATGCAGGGTCCGGGGAGACCGGATATAGTGAATGCGGGGTCCGGGGAGACCGGATATAGTGAATGCGGGGTCCGGGGAGACCGGATATAGTGAATGCGGGGTCCGGGGAGAGCAGATATAGTGAATGCAGGGTCCGGGGAGACCGGATATAGTGAATGCAGGGTCCGGGGAGACCGGATATAGTGAATGCAGGGTCTGGGGTTTAGGAACACTTTAAATAGGCTCTGCCTGACCCAAGATGTCTTTACACTTTATAGAATTAGTTCACCTTCACCTTTGCCAATGCAGGTAAGGGGTGACTGTGGAAAAAAGCAAACTGTGGAGCTTTGACTGAAGTTGGATAATGCCCTTGCTATAGGTATAGGCCAATTACATACCTCCCGAAGCCAGACTGAAAAAGTCCTAGAGGTGGCACTATCCCATACTGCCTTGTTACTAGGATGTTCCTAAGACACTCTCAGCTATTACTGCTCACTATAACTGTAGGCACAATAGAGTTTGTTATAAGCTCAAAAAGCGCTACAAAAATAGCATTTTTGTGCCGGCTTGTAGTAGCGTTTTTACAGTAAATGGAAAAAAAAAAAAGCTGGAAAAAGCTGTTAGAAGCATTTAGGAGCATTTAGCATTTTTTTTTCTGCCAGGGAAACACTTCCAAAAACTCTATTACTTCTGCTCCTAAACACTGAAGCTTGAAAAATGATTCTAGCATAAAATCATGTGCATGGACACATATATGGTATAAAAGTGCAGTGCTTCTATATTATGTGATGTCAAGTGAATCAATACAAAGTTCACCTGAGATCACTTAACCACTGGCCGGACGGTGGCAGTGCAGGGGCGGGTTGCCGTTCATAAATGGCTCCCGCCATTTTGGATTGTGCGTGCTCCCTGGGAGCGCGCAGCAGACTGATTACTGAACGGGACCTCTGTGCGAGGTCCCGATCATGTGATCACTGATTGGCCAATCAGTGATCACGTGAACAGTAGTAAGCAAGATGCCACTTCCTGACATCATTGCTTACTACGTGTGAAATCTGTGAATGATCACAGAGATCACATGGTACAAGGCTATTCACAACAGCCTTGTACCATGTGACTAGCTGTGACCAATCACAGCTCACACAGTATTTCTCAATGGCTGCAAGAATGCAGCCAGAGAGAAGGAGAAATTTTTGCTTTTACAGCCTTTATGGGTGTAAGAGCAATCAGTGTAAAAAAAAAAAAAATCTTCATCACCCCCACAAGTAGTACAGTGTCACTATGGTGACACTGTACTGCTAGGGTGACAGTATGTTAAAAAAACAAACAAAACATAAATAATAAAAATGTAAAAAAAATTTTTTTTAAAAATTATAATTTTGTTGGTTATAAACTAATTTGGATTTTTTTTTTTTTTTTGCTAAAATAACTGAATAAATTTTGGCCAAGATTTATGCGGAAAGATTATTTATTTGCAAAATTCTTACGAAATTTTTGACTATTCATTTATATAGCAAATAAAATAAAAATCCCTCTGGTGAATAAATACCACCAAAAATAAAGTTTTATCTGTCTCAAAAAATGCTAAAAAATTCATATGGGTGCAGTGTTGCATGACCGCGCAATTGTCATTCAAAGTGCGACAGCACTGAAAGCTGAAAATTAGCCTGGGCCGGAAGGGGGTAAAAGTGTCCGGACTGGAAGTGGTTAATATATAAGCGCTGCACTTTTATACCATATATTTTACAGGTGTTGTTACCTTTACCTTTCGTGCTAGCAGCTTTTCACTGATTTATTTCTAGTGCCCGCCTACAGTATATATATATAATTTATCTGCATGGACACATAGGATAAAACTATTAGCTTCTAGGAGCAGAAAAAATATTCTAATAGCTTCTAGGAGCTTAAAAAGCCCGCTAGTGTGCAAGAAGCCATAAAGTGGATGGCCACACACTAGTGCACCACACATGCGGGGGGGGGGGGGGGGGGTTACAAGCTCACTCCTGTGATAGCAGTAGTGAGCAGTAATAGGTCCAACAATAATGAAGCTCTGCTCCAGGTTGGCCCCCCTGTTATGTGTTCCCAAAATCCTTACAAGGAGGTGCTGGCCTGATTCGCAACCGAGAAAACTTCGGCCATAATGTGCATTGTTCCACACTATTATAAGGACACTCCGAAACTTTGAGCAGTGATCCACAGATACTACATAGTTACGTAGTTAGTCTGGCTGAACAAAAGACAAAAAGTCCATCCAGTTCAATCACTGAAAAAAAAAAAAAATCAACCATTAACCCCCCTGGCGGTATTCCTGAGTGTAGCTCGGGGTAAAGTTTCAGCACCACAAGCGGTAACCCCGAGCTACACTCGGTAATACACTGCAGCGTTGCTCCGGGATCTCTTCTTCACTTACCTTGTCCTGCGCTCCCGCGATGTCCCTCCTGCAGTGTCCCCTGTAATATCCTCCAGCGGATGCCGGCATCCGTCTTCCGGGTTCCGTTCCCTGCGACGTCGAGGCGTACGGGGGACGGAACGGCGGGAAATTTGAAAATGACAAAAAGTGACATTCACTAAATACACTAAAATCACATAGTATAACATTCCTGTATCAAACCATTTCACATACATTTTGTCCCGAGTGCTTTGTCCTGTGCCCTGCCTGTATTTTTACTGTTCTTTCTGCCTGGAAACTGAGAAACATCCATGGCGTCCAAAAAGCGTCCCTTTAGACCGGCTAGAGAACAGCGATAGTAAATCAGAACCACTTGCAGAATTGAGTGATAATGATTCGTGGGGAAATTCCTCATCAGACACTGAAAACGATTTTGCGACTGAACTCAGCGATGTGCGAACTTGGCGCTATATTTCACATTTCAGTGTTTTTGGTTTGATTATATTATTGAGTTAAATTTATTATTATTATATTATTATTTTTTATGATTATTTATTAAATTATAATTTATGATTTCGTGTTTCAAATTTTATCATACCCGGGATGTTTATTAGACTCTTGTTCAGACAGATTTCAGTGAGTTATTCCTAAAAATTACAGGCCTACAATAACAAAACAACATATTTCCATGCAAAAAAATGTACCGCTTTGAGCACAGAAATATGGACATAATCGCTAGGGAGGCTACAAATAAAAACAAAAAAATATCACAGCATCGGACCTCAAGGAAATATTTTAATGCATTTCATACTAAGAAGTGCTTACTCACAACTGTAGTGTGAAACGCATCAACCTATCCCCCTGAGGTCCGGTGCTGTGATGTTTTATCTGTGGATCATTGTTCAATCAAAGTTTTGGAGATTCCTTCTAATAGTGTGCAGCCATCCACATTATGGTTGAGGTTTTCTCGGTTGTGAACCAGGCAAGCACCAAAGGATTTCGGGAGCAGATAACGGGCGGACCAACCTGGAGCAGATAACGGGCGGACCAACCTGGAGCAGAGCTTCATTATTGTTGGACCTACTACTGCTATCATAGGAGCAAGCTTGTAACCCCCCCCCCCCCTGCATGTGTGGTGCACTATCTCTACGACCGCAACATCCCTGAACTCGGAGCAACAGGAGAGAGAGGGAAAGAATGCAAGAGGGGTTGAATTGGCTTGGTTTGTCTTAGCAAAGTCCTAGCAGCAAGGCAGGATGGGATGATGCCATCTCTGGGAGTTTTTTATTCAGGCTTTGGGAGGTACATAAATACCCTACACCTATAGAAAGGCCATTATTTAACCTTGGTCAAAGCTGCACAGTTTGTTTTTATCTTCTTGCATAGACAGTTTTTTTTTTTGTAAAGGTGAACTAACCTTTTAACTTGAATACAGAAAATGGCTTATAGAAATAGCAGTCTTAGCTTTGTTCCAGTTTAATCCTCAGCAGGGACCCGTGGCCCGCAGCTGTCGCAGAGTTTAGTAAGTGATGGTGATGACGACATGACCAAGCACGACCTATCTCAGTCCACCATCAGAAGAGTTATGAGCCAGTTATATACTGCTGAGATCAAGGACTCAGCTGCTTCTCAGTGCTCTGTACCTTCCAAATTTGTGAGGCAACACTTTAGAAGCTTGAAACCCAATTCTGGGAAAAGTAACTGCAAGCATTTAATTTTTGTGGGACAGAAAAAGCAGTTTTATTTACCTGATCCTCAGCTCCCCAGCAGGTGGTAATCCCCTAAGCTCTTGTTGTGGACTGTTACTCAGCATCCTCATGTCCAATGCAGGGCTAAAAGCTACCTGAGACTCGGCTCTGCCACCTAACACAAGACTTCTACCTGAGCCTCAACTTTGCCTCCTATCACAAGACTTCTACCTGAGCCTCAACTTTGCCTCCTGACACAAGACTTTTACCTGAGCCTCAACGTTGCCTCCTGACACAAGACTTCTACCTGAGCCTCAACTTTGCCTCCTGACACAAGACTTCTACCTGAGCCTCAACTTTGCCTCCTATCACAAGACTTCTACCTGAGCCTCAACTTTGCCTCCTGACACAAGACTTCTACCTGAGCCTCAACTTTGCCTCCTGACACAAGACTTTTACCTGAGCCTCAACGTTGCCTCCTGACACAAGACTTCTACCTGAGCCTCAACTTTGCCTTTTGCCACATGACCAACCCAACCACTTGTTGGACATGTATACCTATAAATTAGACCTTTAATCTCTATTCTATTATTATACTGTGGTGGGTTAAAGAAACCAATTTATGCTGAGAAACTATCACTGGAAAGTCTGAGGGATATAAGAATTGTACAGCTGCTCACGCAAAAATGAAATATCTGGTTTAGACGTCATTATTCAGCACTACTGTGTGTAATTGGTAGTGACTTAAATAGTGTTTGGAGTACACACACAAGTTCAGGCATATTAGGAGGCAGAGTTGAGGCTCAGGTAGAGGTCATGTGTCAGGAGGCAGAGTTGAGGCTCAAGTAGAGGTCAGGAGGCAGATTTGAGGCTCAGGCAAAGTTCATGTGTCGGGAAGCAGAGGTGAGGCTCAGGCACAGGACTTGTGTCAGGAGGCAGAGTTGAGGATCAGCTAGAGGTCTTGTGTCAGGAGGCAGAGCTGAGGCTCAGGTAGAGGTCATGTGTCAGGAGGCAGAGCTGAGGCTCAGGTAGAGGTCATGTGTCAGGAGGCAGAGCTGAGGCTCAGGTAGAGGTCATGTGTCAGGAGGCAGAGTTGAGGCTCAAGTAGAGGTCATGTGTCAGGAGGCAGAGTTGAGGGTCAAGTAAAGGTCATGTGTTAGGAAGCAGAGTTGAGGCTCAGGCAAAGGTCATGTGTCAGGAGGCAGAGCTGAGGATCAGCTAGAGGTCTTATATCAGGAGGCAGAGCTGAGGCTCAGCTAGTGGTCTTGTGTCAGGAGGCAGAGCTGAGGCCCAGGTAGAGGTCATATGTCAGAAGGCAGAGCTGAGGCTCAGTTAGAGGTCTTGTGTCAGGAGGCAAAGCTGAGGCTCAGTTAGAGGTCTTGTGTCAGGGGGCAGAGCTGAGGCTTAGCTAGAGGTCATGTGTCAGGAGGCAGAGCTGAGGCTCAGCTAGAGGTATTGTGTCAGGAGGCAGAGCTGAGGCTCAGCTAGAGGTATTGTGTCAGGAGGCAGAGTGGAGGCTCAGTTAGAGGTCTTGTGTCAGGAGGCAGAGCTGAGGCTCAGTTAGAAATCTTGTGTCAGGCAAAGTTGAGGCTCAGTTAGAGGTCTTGTGTCAGGAGGCAAAGCTGAGGCTCAGTTAGAGGTCTTGTGTCAGGAGGCAGAGCTGAGGCTCAGCTAGAGGTCATGTGTCAGGAGGCAGAGTTGAAGCTCAGTAAAGGTCATGTGTCAGGTCAGAGTTGAGGCACAGGCAGAGACTGAGGAGGCAGAGCTGAGGCTCAGCTAGAGGTCATGTGTCAGGAGGCAGAGTTGAAGCTCAAGTAAAGGTCATGTGTCAGGAGGCAGAGTTGAAGCTCAAGTAAAGGTCATGTGTCAGGAGGCAGAGTTGAGGCACAGGCAGAGGACTTGTGTCAGGAGGCAGAGCTGAGGATCAGCTAAATGTCTTGTGTCAGGAGGCAGAGCTGAGGCTCAGCTAGAGGTCTTGTGTCCAAAGGCAGAGTTGAAACTCAGGTAGAGGTAATGAGGCAGAGTTGAGACTCAATGCAGAAATAACTATGGCATGTGTTAATTATTGCTAAGAACATAAATATATTGGTGCAGCGCTAATACAGAAATAATCACTTGCGTCACCACGTACCTACGCATTACGTCCCGATTATCACGTGACTTCCTCAGGGTCACTGATCCCGATCAGGGATTTGGGTTGTTTGTTTGTTCATTTTCTGCGTGTGTTCACTAAATTGGGTCCAATTAGAACCGCGTGTTTTTCACGTTTTTTCTGTCACCTCAAGATCCCAGAGAGGATCAGATCACTTTATATGTGTCACAGTTTATGATTTTTTTTTCACATTTTTATTATTGTATTATTATATGTGGTTATATGATCATTTATGTATTAGCGCTGCACCAATATATTTATATTCTTAGCACTATTTTCACCTATAGGTGTAGGTTTGGGTGTTAGCAGCTTTGTTTGTTATATATTTTTCACTTTATAGTGCCGGAGGATAAAATCATTATTAATGTGTGAATTATTGACTTTTTTTCTTTAGCACAAAACTGCATTGCTGGTGAAGGGAATGGAGTCAACGATGAACTGATCACCTTGGAAATTGTGTCTCCGGATGTCCCAGACCTGACTCTGATTGATCTGCCAGGAATTACACGGGTGGCTTTACCTAATCAGCCTGCGGATATTGGACGTCAGGTTTGTTTCAAAACCTTCAAGAAAAAAAAACATCTCACAAGTTATAAACTAGACTACAACTTACCTATAGAACAAAGATGTTAATAACACAATTTAACAATTTGGGATATGTAATATTAACCTTGTTAACCTCCCTGGCGGTATGATTCTTTCCGATTTTTTGTGCTGAAAGCGGTACCATTTTTTTGCATGGAAATATGTAGTTTTTTATTGTAGGCCTGTAATTTTTAGGAATAACTCACTGAAATCTGTCCGAACAAGAGTCTAGTAAACATCCCGGGTATGATAAAATTTGAAACGAAATCATAAATTATAATTTAATAAATAATCATAAAAAATAATAATATAATAATAATTTAATTTAATTCAATAATATAATCAAACCAAAAACACTGAAATTTGAAATACAGAGGCAAATTCGCACATCGCTGAGCAAAGTCGCAAAGTCGTTTTCAGTGTCTGATGACGAATTTCCCCCACAAATCATTATCACTCAATTCTGCAAGTGGTTCTGATTTACTATCGCTGTTTTAAAACAGCTTTTGACGTAAAGGGATGCTTTTTGGACGCCATGGACTTTTCTAAGTTTCCAGGCAGAAAGAACAGTCAAAATGCAGGCAGGGCGCCGGACAAAGCACTCGGGACAAAATGTATCTGAAATGCATTGAAACAGCAATGACAGCAAAAATGACATTTTTTTAAAATTTCAAATTTGCCGCCGGTTCCGGCGCCCGTACGTCCCGACGTCACAGGGACCAGAACACAGAAGCCGGATGCCGGCATCGGCCGGAGGAGATGGCCGGGGACGCTGCAGGGGACACATCGCGGGAGCGAAGGACAAGGTAAGTGCTGCAGGGACCCCCTGAGCAACGCCGCATGGTAAGCCCGAGTGTAGCTCAGGGTTACCGCTCTTGCTACTCAAATTTTACCCCGAGCTACACTCGGGAATACCGCTAAGGAGGTTAAAGCCAAACTTCAGCCAACATCTTATTTTAATTTTAGTTTTAGATTACATTTTCAAAATGTTGTTCTTTCTGCCCCCGACCCCATTGGAGGGATTTTCCCTCACTTCCTTTCCCTGTGATGCCTATACAAGAAACTTGGAAGTAGGGCTGTGACTAGAACAGACAAAGACACAAATAGAAACATTGTCCGAACTTTGAATCTTCCTTTACTCTAAATTTAGACCTTTTAACCACTTGCCCTCCAGAAGATTTACCCCCCCCCCCCCCCCCCCCCCGACCAAGCCATTTTTTTTGCGATACAACGCTGTGTTACTTTAACTGACAATTGCGCGGTCATGCATGCTGCCCCCTAATTAAATGTATGTCCCTTTTTTTCCTACAAATAGAGCTTTTTTTGGTGGTATTTGATCACCTCTGCATGTTTTTTATTTTTTGCGCTATAAACAGGAAAAATAAGACCGACAGTTTTGAGGCAAAAAAAAATATGTTTTAACTTTTTGCTAAATCAAAACATAGCTGAGGATCAGCTCAAGAGGTCTTATATCAGGAGGCAGAGCTGAGGATCAGCTAAATGTCTCAGGAGGCAGAGCTGAGGCTCAGCTCAGCTAGTTGAAGTCAAGTAAAGGTTGTGTCAGTTGAGGCAAAGCTGCAGAGCTGAGGATCTAAATGTCTTGTTCAGGAGGCAGAGCTGAAGCTAGAGGTCTCCAAAGGCAAGTTGAAACCCAGAGAGTTGAGACTCAATGCAGATCACATAAATATATTGTGTCATCAGTTTACGCATTGATTATCACGTGACTTTTTGATTCAATAATTTTCTGCGTGTGTTCACTAAATTGGGTCCGAACCGCGTGTTGTTCAGTTTTGAGAAAAAAAAAATATGTTTTAACTTTTTGCTATAAAACATATCCAGTAAAAAAATTTAAAAATCTAATTTCGTCATAAATGTAGGCCAAATGTATTCTGCTACATGTCTTTAAGAAAAAATCCAAATATGTGTAAATTAATTGGTTTACGTGCAAGTTATAGCATTTATAAATGGCGGTATATATACTGGAATTTTTTTTATGCTACTAATAGCGGCGATCAGCGACTTATAGCGGGACTGCGGCGGGCATTCTGACACTTATAGGGAGTGGGAATTGGCTAACTGCCACTGACATCCCCAGTGACACTAATACTGTGATCAGTGCTAATAAAAAGCACTGACACTGTACTAATGGCACTGGGCAGGAAGGGGTTAACTTCTGGGGTAATCAAAGGGTTAACTGTGTGCTGGTTTACTATGTGCGCTGTGTGTGTTTTACTGTGTAAGCATGCTGCTTTGTATTGCTCTGTTATGCAGAGCAAAACAAAGTAGCATGCTGATGCTGACAGGGGAGAGATCTGTATTTTATACATACAGACCTCTCCCCTGTCAGTGTTCCTCGGTGATTGCCGGGTGCTGGTGGGGAATCTGGGCGGGACCTTGTGATCGACAGCTGTAGTCGCGAATGGCAGTGTGGGTAGGGCGGTGCGCACGCCCCCTACCTGGTAATGTAAAATCACGTGTATACTGTATATATATGTGATTTTGCACAGCCCTGCCACCCCTGTAGCAGTATTTGTGCTATAGGGCGGCAGGGAAGCGGTTAATATTGATATCCAGTGTTAGAAATGACTGTTTATTTAACTGAGCTGTATTGCCTCGGTGAGGCTGCTCATATACACCAGAACACCCCAAACAGGAAAGAGGGGTCTTTAGAAAAGGCAAAACTCTACAAGAAGCAGTAGGAGCGCCACAACAATGGCCAAAATAATGTTTTATCAAATATTCAATTGAAAGAAATGCGTTTTGGGTAGTTTAGACACTCCCCCTTCATCAGGGTTTGTGTATTGTAAGATTTCAGATGTGGCAAGGCTTAATTTGATTTGCAATATTTGTTGCATATACAGTTGTGCGCAAACATTTGCATATCCTTGGAGAATTGGTAATAGTATGTACTTTAACCGCTTCCCGACCGCCCTGTAGCAGAAATACTGCTACAGGGAGGCACAGGTGCACAAAATCGTGTGTGTGTATATGTACAGTGGGGATCGAAAGTTTGGGCACCCCAGCTAAAAATTTGTATTAATGTGCATAAAGAAGCCAAGGAAAGATGGAAAAATCTTCAAAAGGCATCAAATTACAGATTAGACATTCTTAAAATATGTCAACAAAGTTAGATTATATTTCCATCATTTACACTTTCAAAATAACAGAAAACAAAAAAATGGCGTCTGCAAAAGTTTGGGCACCCTGCAGAGTTAATATCTTGTACTGCCCCCTTTGGCAAGTATCACAGCTTGTAAACACTTTTTGTAGCCAGCCAAGAGTCTTTCAATTCTTGTTTGAGGTATCTTTGCCCATTCTTCCTTACCAAAGTCTTCCAGTTCTTTGAGATTTCTGGGCTGTCTGTCACGCACTGCTCTTTTAAGGTCTAGCCATAGATTTTCAATTATATTGAGGTCAAGAGATTGTGAAGGCCATGGCAAAACCTTCAGTTTATGCCTCTTGATGTAATCCCCCGTGGATTTCGAGTGTGTGTTTAGGATCATTATCCATTTGTAGAAGCCATCCTCTCTTTAACTTCAGCTTTTTCACAGATGGCATCAAGTTACCATCCAAAATTTGCTGAAATTTTATTGAATCCATTTTTCCTTCTACTCGTGAGATGTTCCCTGTGCCACTGGCTTCAACACAACCCCAAAGCATGATTGATCCAACCCCATGCTTAACAGTTGGACAAAAGTTCTTTTCATTAAATTCTGTGCCCCTTCTTCTCCAAATGTACCTTTGCTCATTCCGGCCAAAAAGTTCAATTTTAACCTCATCGGTCCACAGAACTTGTTTCCAAAATGCATCAGGCTTGTCTATATGTTCATTTGCAAAGTTCAAACGATGATTTTTGTGGTGAGGACGTAGAAGAGGTTTTCATCTGATGACTGTTCCTTGAAGACCATATTTGTACAAGTATCTCTTTATAGTGGAATAGTGTACCACAACTCCAGTGTCTGCCAGATCTTTCTGGAGGGATCGTGCAGTCAAACGTGGGTTTTGAATTGTTTTTCTCACAATCCTGCGAGCTGTTCTGTCTGATATTTTTCTTGGTCTTCCAGATCTTGCTTTAAGATCACTGTTCCTGATGACTGCCATTTCTTAATTACATTCCGAACAGAGGATATTGACATCTGAAAGCGCTTTGCTATCTTCTTATAGCCTTCTCCAGCTTTGTGAGCGTCAACTATTTTCAGTTTCAGTTTTCTAGACAACTGCTTAGAAGAACCCATGGTGCTGATTGTTGGGGCAAGGTCAGATGAGTCTGGGCATTTAAAACCTTTGTGATTGACATCATCTGGTCTTCCCAGACGATGATTGAGAACAATCCATGACACTGGCAGGTCTCAGCTTTGCAAAGGGGGCAGTGCATGCTATAAATTGTGCAGGGTGCCCAAACTTTTGTAGACGCCATTTTTTTTGTTTTCTGTTATTTTGAAAGTGTAAATGATGGAAATATAATCTAACTTTGTTGACATATTTTAAGAATGTCTAATCTGTAATTTGATGCCTTTTGGAGATTTTTCCATCTTTCCTTGGCTTCTTTATGCACATTAATACAAATTTTTAGCTGGGGTGCCCAAACTTTCGATCCCCACTGTATGTGTATATGTGTGTGTATGTATGTATATATATATATATATATATATATATATATGTAATTTTGCATTTCCGGGTAGGGGGTTAGTTCACCCTACCTGCGCAGGCATTCGCTGCCGCGGCTGTCAATCACTGTGTCCCTGTCGGTGATTACTTGCCAGCGCCCAGTGATTTCCGAGGATCTCTGACGGGGAGGAGAACTGTTTTGTTTACTAACAGTTCTCCTCCCTGTCAGCTCGGGCACACTGTTTTGGATGCAGCATGTCTTTGGAGTATAGGAGGAAATCCTCAAGGGGCGTACATCTAAGGTCCCTAACTCACATCATCATACATACACATACTAGGGCCAATTTAGACAGGAGCCAGTTAACCTACCAGCATGTCTGTGGAGTGTGGGAGGAAACTGGAGTACCCAGAGGAAACCCATGCAGGCACAGGGAGAACATGCAAACTCCAGGCAGGTGGTACCACATCAAAATTTCACGATTTCTGCCAGGGTATGGAATCTTCTTGAGAGGAAGTGATGGGAAAGCTCCCCAGTGGGAAATAGTGAAAAAAAAAAACATTCCCTACTGTATCCAAAAATTAAAAAAAAAAAAGAAAACCGTTTTGGCTTTGGTTATAGTTTAAGCCAACGTTTGTCCTTTATGTTTGATTACATTTTGACCAAAACATGTAATGTTCTACAGATCAAGAAAATGATCAAGAAGTACATCCAGAGACAGGAGACCATTAATTTAGTTGTGGTCCCCAGTAACGTGGATATCGCAACCACTGAAGCTTTAGAAATGGCAAAACAAGTGGATCCCAGTGGAGAGCGGACATTAGGTACCGTATGGCTACATTTCCTTGTTAAGGAAGAGGGGACCCAAAAAATATGTACAATTTTTGTAAAAATCTCTTTAAATTTTACTATATTTTGTAATGTGAGGGCTCCCCAAGAAATCACATATGCCCCCGTGTAACCATAATTCTTAGTGGATCTTAAGGCCTCATGCACACTGTGTTAAATACGCGGTTATTAGGAGCATCTGGCAGTTTTTTTTTTCTGCCTGTAAATGCTTCTCCATGTTAGCCAATGTGTCTCTGCACGCATAGGAGTTTATGGGCATTTAGAGGCAGAAAAAAACACTGGCAGTGCATTCAGGAGCAGCAGCGCATCACAGAAAAAAAAAGCTTGACGTGTGCAAACGCATCTAAATGCTAGGCACTCATCCAGTAGCTGTTTACCTGATGGGACAGACCAGTGCCTGGACAAGGTCATCTAGCGCCTAAGGCAAAGATTTATGAGGAATATATGTCAGCAAATCTCCCCCCCCCTCTCCAAAAAAAAGGACAAGCACTAAACTGCACGCTAACCCCCTAAGAATATATTTCCTTTGCCAACCAAAATTTTCTCCAAACAAAATTTCCCTCTCCTCCCAGTGCAAATCCATCCTCCCAGCACATATCTTTGGCCCTCATTCCCCCTCTCAGCTCACATCCTTTTCCTCCCCAAATTTCCCCTCCTAGCAAAAATCGCCACCCCCCCCCCTCAATCATCCATCTTAGCAGAAATCCTCTATGCTCAAATTTCTCCTCCGAGCATAAATCCTCCGCCCTAAATTTCCTCATGAACTCAAATCCTCCCCATCAGCACAAATTCAGCCATATCCACACATTTCCCCTCTGGGCATAAATCCCCCCCCCCCAATTTTAAAATTTCCCTGCGTACAAATCTTCCCCCCAAATCCCCCTTCCTCACACAAATCACAGGAGGGGAGTGAGAGAGCACAGCCTGCACCTCCTTTCTGCTCTCCAGATTCTGCCTGTCACTTCTCATGCTAAGCTGACGGAGTAGTGATGCTGCTGTCACTACTCCTGTCATCTTGTAGCAGCAGGAATTCTCCATGCCTTTCACCCTACATCAGTGTTTCTCAACTCCAGTCCTCATGGACCCCCAACAGGTCATGTTTTCAGGATTTCCCTCAGATGAAACAGCTGTGGTAATTACTAAGGCAGTGAAACTGATCAAATCACCTGTGCAAAATAATGGAAATCCTGAAAACATGACCTGTTGGGGGTCCATGAGGACTGGAGTTGAGAAAAACACTGCCCTACATGATAGTACTTCTGCCCTTCTCTTGCACAGACTCCCCTTTACGTGTTCTACCTACAAGTAATAATTGTCTGGTACAGGTAGACCAGAGCCAAATCATCCACAAAGCAACCCAGGTAGGAGCCTATGGCCAGTAGATATCCAAGGGGCCCAGCTGAATCCTTTATGTTCCTGCAGTAAATTAAGGTGACTTCACAAATTAAGGTCACTTCACAATGGAGGATGTACAGTATCTCCCAGAAGTGAGTCCACCCCTCACATCTTTGTAAATATTTGATTCTATCTTTTCATGTGACAACACTGAAGAAATGACACTTTGCTACAATGTGACGTAGTCAGTGTACAGCTTGTATAACCGTGTAAATTTGCTGTCCCCTCAAAATAACTCAACACACAGCCATTAATGTCTAAACCGCTGGGAACAAAAGTGAGTACACCCCTAAGTGACAATATCCAAATTGGGCCCAAAGTGTCAATATTTTGTGTGGCCACCATTATTTTCCAGCACTGCCTTAACCCTCTTGGGCATGGAGTTCACCAGAGCTTCACAGGTTGCCACTGGAGTCCTCTTCCACTCCTCCATGATGACATCATGGAGCTGGTGGATGTAAGAGACTTGTGCTCCTCCACCTTCGGTTTGAGGATGCCCCACAGATGCTCAATAGGGTTTAGGTCTGGAGACATGTTTGGCCAGTCCATCACCTTCACCCTCAGCTTCTTTAACAAGGCAGTGGTGGTCTTGGAGGTGTGTTTGGGGTTGTTATCATGTTGGAATACTGCCCTGAGGCCCAGTCTCTGAAGGGAGGGGATCATGCTCTGCTTCAGTATATCACAGTACATGTTGGCATTCATGGTTCTCTCAATGAACTGTAGCTCCACAGTACCGGGTAGCACTCATGCAGCCCCAGACCATGACACTCCCACCACCATGCTTGACTGTAGGAAAGACACTTTGTCTTTGTACTCCTCACCTGGTTGATGCCACACATGCTTGACACCATCTGAACCAAATCCGCGTATCTTGGTGTCATCAGACCACAGGATATGGTTCCAGTAATCCATGTCCTTAGTCTGCTTGTCTTCAGCAAACTGTTTGTGGGCTTTCTTGTGCATCATCTTTAGAAGAGGCTTCCTTCTGGGAGGACAGCCATGCAGACCAATTTGATGCAGTGTGCAGCGTATGGTCTGAGCACTGACAGGCTGACTCCCCACCCGTTCAACCTCTGCAGAAATGCTGGCAGCACTCATGCGTCTATTTTCCAAAAACAACCTCTGGATATGATGCTGAGCACGTGCACTCAACTTCTCTGGTTGACCATGGTGAGGCCTGTTCTGAGTGGAATCTGTCTTGTTAAACCCCTGTATGGTCTTGGCCACCATGCTGCAGCTCAGTTTCAGGGTCTTGGCAATTTTCTGATAGCCTAGGCCATCTTTATCTAGAGCAACAATTTTTTTTTTTTTCAGATCCTCAGAGAATTTTTTTCCATGAGGTGCCATGTTGAACTTCCAGTGGCCAGTATGAGAGAGTGAGAGTTTTAACACACCTGCTCCCCATTCACGCCTGAGACCATGTAACACTGACGAGTCACATGACACCGGGGGGGGGGGGGAAATGGCTAATTGGGCCCAATTTGGACATTTTCACTTTTTCATTTTAATTCTTGTTGCCAGCGGTTTAGATATTAATGGCTGTGTGTTGAGTTATTTTGAGGGGACAGCAAATTTACATGTTATACAAGCTGTACACTGACTACGTCACATTGTAGCAAAGTGTCATTTCTTCAGTGTTGTCACATGAAAAGATAGAATCAAATATTTACAAAAATGTGAGGGGGGGGACTCACTCACTTCTGGGAGATACAGTATTTGGCTTCCATGCCAGTGCAGACAATACAATTGAGGCAGTTTCTCTTCTCTCTTTGCAGTTCTTAGCAATGCCAACTGAAAGAATTGGGGGGCCAAAGCTGCTACCTTCCCCAGAGTCCCATTCTTCCTTAATTTGCCTCTGGACAGGCCCCAAAATGGGTGTCATAAATAACTTTTTTTTTTTCAGGGATCTTGACTAAACCAGATCTGGTCGACAAGGGAACAGAATCAGATATTGTTGACGTGGTGAAAAACCTGTCCTTCCCACTGAAGAAAGGCTACATGATTGTGAAGTGTCGCGGGCAGAGTGAAATCCAGAGCAAACTTTCTCTGAAAAATGCCATAGACAATGAGAACGCTTTTTTTGAAGACCATGAATATTTCAGGTAATGCCGCTAAGCCCCCTAGAGCAGTGCTTGTCAACTTGGAAGGGAGGGCGGCCTCAACTGCAGCCCCTGTAGCTGATGTTCAGTGAATGATACTGAACAAGGAGGAGATGAATGGACACTGTGGACATGATACCGATTGGAGATATGTAGTTAGAAGACAGTCTGAGAAATTAGAAACATGTTAAATTCCTACTATTACAGCCCCTTTACAAATTAGACCCCTGCAGCCATTCGTGGCAACAAGAGTACTAAGGACCTCAAAGCAAGCATAAAAGGCAGCATGTGGCTTGGGGGCCACAGTTTGGGCACCAGGAAGCTAGGGCACCAAGAGTGTGCAAAACCGTAAGCTGTAAAAATTGTTCCCAGTATTTCTTTTTACGTTCTCTAGTGGTATATATTCTTGGGTTTAACTCCAGGCAGGTGTTTTTTTTGTTCCCATGCAGTGACACTGTGCCCACAATGCATGGGTTAACTGCTCATTTCTGTCTAGGGGTTCGGAGAGCTGAGATATGCTCACCTAAAACTCCGATCCTCCCTGCGCAAGACCTGTGCCTTCAGCTTCTGCCCCCCTGCGGTCCAGCGGTCTTGTGTGGCCGACTGTTCCTGACATCATCACGTCCATAGACTGGCTCTGGACATGAAGACGTCAGGAACAGTCCAATGCTGGACATGGGGGAGCACTGTTTTCCAGAGGATCAAAAGATTGAGTGAGTATAGGCTCTCTGTTCACCCCTAGGCAATACAAGCAGTTACCCCATGCAGTGCGTGCCGGCACAGCCCCATTGCTTGGCTGACAAAACACTTCTAACAGTTTAAGCCTGGGTAAATCAGATTTAAAGGGATTTCCAGTAACTGTTAAAAGTTCCTATCTAGAAATATTCTGTTGAACAATGGGGAGGTAACTCCCATCTGCCCAAGAGGCAGTGGCACAGTTAGTTTGCAGGACTTGGTGGACAAGGGTTTCACCATTCAGACACCTCATCATTTCTTCACCACATCAGATTTCATCAGCAGAGAGAACTGAAAGTAAAGTCTATAATTGCAGCTCGGGGTTCTGATGAACCTGTTGAAGCCGAAAGCGGGACTGGATTTTCTGCAAAAGCATCTGTAGGCCATGGACTAGGGTGGAAGCACTGCCAGAGGTGGCACATACACCCTTTAGAGCAGTGGTTCTCAACCTGTGGGTCGCGACCCCTTTGGGGGTCGAACGACCCTTTCACAGGGGCCCCTTAAGACCATCGGAAAACACATATTTCCGATGTGTAAAGAGCAGCTACTGTGTAGAAAGCAGCTACTCTGTTAAAAGCAGCTACTGTGTTGAAAGCAGCTACTGTGTTGAAAGCAGCAGTATTGGAGGTAAAACGACACTCATGAATTATAATTACTGGGTAAATAATTTTATGGTTGGGGGTCACCACAACATGAGGAACTGTATTAAAGGGTCACGGCATTAGGAAGGTTGAGAACCACTGCTTTAGAGCAAGGGTGTCAAACTCTGTTTCACCACGGGTGCATCAGTATTACGGTTGCATTCATTATGGTTATATCTGTAAGACTAGATATGCAGAGCCCCCCACCTCCCAATTACATCAGATATCAAGAGCCCCCCCACCATCAGAAGTCAAGAGTCCCCCACCCTCCCTTACATTGAAAGTCCACCCCCTTACCTTGTGCTGCTGCCAGGTAGAAGCTGGGGGTGGAACTGGGAAGCAGAAAATGCAGGACTGGAGGAGGACCAGAGGAGGACTGGAGACAGATGCTGGAGTCTGCTGAATGTTTAGACCGGGGGATGTGGAGACGGGGTGCTGTGGTTGCACAGAGATGCACTGGATCTGTAGGAGTTCTTTCCTCCTCCCTGCTGCCGACTGTTGACATTGTGGGGCAGAGATGAGCCTCTTTGTGGATGCAGAGAAACTCAGGATCTGGCAGAGGACTTTAGTCCTCCTCTCTGCTGCCGACTGCTGAGACAAGGTGGGGGTGGAGATGAGGGGGGTGCCTCCGCTTCAGGAGAGGTGCGAGGGCCACATGAAATGGCCTGGTGGGCCGGATTGAGCCTGTGGGCCTTGTGTTTGATACATGCACTCTAGAGTAAAACCACCCAGTTAGTATAAACTTGGACTTGATACCAATATCGATAACATTTGGGAGAACACTAGCACTATTTTATCCTACAATTATAGGTCCAGGCTTGAACCTCACTGTTGCCATCCCTGATTGTTTGTGGCATAATGCACTGAAGGTTCCTCCACCCAACTGCTGGCAGAATAGGGAGACTGTATGCCCTACTTCTATACATTGGACTGCTGACCCCATGTGGGCAAACTGCCCAACCTATCCATCCCCAGCCTTGGTGTACCTGGGACATCTTGCCCAACTTCCACTTTAAAGTGTCTCCATGCTGCTGGGACTGCAGCAGAAAAGGCTGAGCGGCCCCAAGGAAGGGCAGAAAGCAGATCTAAGATGGAGGGAGCCAAGTGAATGGACCCCTGTACAGGGTGAGGCCTTTGGGGTTGTGTGGAAATGCTCGGGGGCCAGTGGAAGGTGCCCAGGTGTAATCAGTGTGATTATCTGTGGCCTTTGGACCCCTTTTTGGTTTTGTTTGGTACATATCTTCAACAAAAGTATTCTTTTTTTTTTTTTTTTCTAGAGTTCTTCTACAAGAAGGTCATGCCACAATCCCGGCCCTGGCAGAGAGACTAACAGTGGAACTGGTGGAGCATATTAACGTAAGTCATTTGTGACTGTGTCTCTTTAGGTAGATCACACTGACTAAAAACCTCAAAAGAAGACCTGTACTGAGAGAAGGACTAAAAGCTGATATTACCGACCTTGGGAAATGCTAGTTACCTGGCTGTCTCAATAGTTTGAGTCAGTAACCAAGCATGCAGCTAATGCAATCAGAGGGATTAGCTGCTTTGCACACTGCAGTGAAAGCATCAAAACCTTTGGGTCAGCATGATAACCAGACGACTAGCATTTTTAGGAGGAGAATTTTGGAAAGGCAGTCCTGTGCAGGGCTGTGACAAGGCGTGGGCTGGAGGGGCAGCTGCCCTGGGCGCAGAGAAGCAAAGGGAGCAAATAGATGCAGGGTGCTAATCCATTCTATGGCATGCATTAATGGTGGGGGCCCAGTTCTGGATCCTTGCCCTGGGCGCTGGACAACCCTGTCTCTGCACTGGTCCTAGTTATCTTTTCCATGCAAGTTTCCTTTAAAAGACTACAGAGTTTTTTTAAATGTACTTAACCACTTCCCATCCGGCCATTGTATAAAACGGCTGGACGGTGGCAGTGCAGGGGCGGGTGGCCGTTTATAAATGGCCTCCCCGCTCCCTGGAGCGTGCAGCATCGCGATCTGATGCCCGTGCTCCACTGTGTCCTCCGGACACAGTGGAGCACCGATCGTCATATGGGACCTCTGTGCGAGGTCCCGATCATGTGATCACTGATTGGCCAATCAGTGATCACATTCAGAGTAGTAAGCAAGATGTCACTTGTGACATCATTGCTTACTACTTGTGAAATCTGTGAATGATCACAGACCTCACATGGTACAAGGCTATTCACAACAGCCTTGTACCATGTGACAAGCTGTGACCAATCACAGCTCACACAGTATTTCTCAATGGCTGCAAGAATGCAGCCAGAGAGAAGGAGAAATGATTGCTTCTACAGCCTTTATGGGTGTAAAAGCAAACAGTGTAAAATCTTCATCACCCCCCACAAGTAGTATGGTGACCATGGTGACACTGTACTGCTAGGGTGACAGTATGTAAAAAAAAAAACCCCATAAATAATAATATAAAAAAATTAAATAAAAATTTATAAAAATGTTTTAAAAAAATTAAAATTTTTGGTTATAAACTAATTTGGGTTATTTTTTTTGTTTACTAAAAAGATAGCTGAATAATTTTTGGCCAAGATTTATGATGAAATATTTATTTGAAAAATTTTATAAGAAAAACCCTTTTTTTCAAAATTTTTGGACTTTTCATTTATATAGCAAAAAAAATAAAAACCCCAGCGGTGAATAAATACCACCAAAATAAAGCTTTATCTGTCTCAAAAACATGATAAAAAAATTCATTTGGGTACAGTGTTGCATGACCGCGCAATTGTCGTTCAAAGTGTGATAGCACTGAAAGCTGAAAATTGGCCTGGACAGGAAGGGGGTGAGAGTGTCCGGACTGGAAGTGGTTAAACTCAACATGTGATATATTGCAGCTTACTAGTCCTTAGATGTGGTTGCTGCATTAGTTTTCTTTTTTCATGAAAATACCTGACAGTTTCACCAGAAATGCCATGTCCTTGTAACTACCCGTCTGCTAAACTAAAATCTCAAACGATGTTATCAGCCTTCCCATCTATTTTCTGTGAACTACAAAACCCACCATCCCCATCAAATGGAGAGAATCAGGAGAGCAGCCTATGGTGTGCTGCAGGTCTGGTATTGTTATGTCAGGCTGCAAAGTTTGACCGGTGGCACCGACTATTAAACCTGGGCATTCAGTTCAATGGCCGCACCTCAACCACAAGCCAAACGCTCCTCTTGCAGTTGTGACGCAGTCCTGGAACATAAAATTGCTGTTAGGCAAGTAAAAGTAAAAAAAAGACAAAAAAACAGGCATTAGGAGGTGGCTGTAGCGCCTTTAAACCACCCTCTGAAAAGCAATCCACTATTACACCTGGCCATTGAGTTCAGTGGGGCTGTACCTCAACCACAAGCGAAACACTCCTCTTGCAGTTGTGACGCAGTCCTGGAATGTAAAATTGAAGTTAGGCAAGTAAAAGTAAACAAAAAAACAGGCGTTAGGAGGTGGCTGTAGCACCTTTAAACCACCCTCTGAAAAGCAATCTACTGCCAATCACTTTTCAGAGGGCTGTCAGGCTACATTCACACCAGCGTTTTTTTTTTTTTAGGTCAGGGCAAACTGCAGCAGCAGGCTGTGAGCAGCTCGGTGTGCAGCCAGCGGCTACCTGCAGTGAGCACCGTTGGTTGATTCATGCAACTGCAATTTGCACCAGCCTAGTGTGAATACAGCCTTAGCATTGCACAAATGGGAGGGAAGCCTAAGAAAACTAATGCAGCCAACACGTCTAAGTAATGGCAACCTTCAATATATTTGTTTTTTTTATTATTATTATTATTATTATACAGTATTTATAAAGCGCCAACAGTTCGCTCAGTGCTGTACATTACAATGGGAGACAATACATGAGACAATACAGTAACAATACAATTCGATACACGAGGGGTTCGAGGGCCCTGCTCCTTGGAGCTTACAATCTAGGAGGGAGGGGATAGTGGTACGGGAGGAAAAGCTGTGGGGGATGGAGTGGTAGGAAGAGTGGAGGAGATCGGCGATTAGCAGAGGGCAGGGTAGGCTTCCCTGAAGAGATGGGTTTTCAGGGTGCGCCTAAAGGAGAGGAGAGTAGGTGATAGTCTTATGGATTGGGGCAGGGAGTTCCAGAGGATGGGTGAAGCCCTAGAGAAGTCCTGGAGGCGGGCATGGGAGGAGGAGACCAGGGAACTAGAGAGCAGGAGGTCTTGTGAGGCGCGGAGAGTACGTTTTGGGTCGTATTTTGATATCAGGTTTTAGGTTGAAATACACTTTTGGAGGATACTGGGAGATGGGTAGATTTACATTACATTTGCTATATGTTTTTTTCCCTTTTTTCAGAGGACCTTGCCCAATCTCGAGGAACAAATTCTAACAAAACTAAAGGAAGCGGAAGACAGGCTATTCAATATTGGCATCGGAGTCCCTGAGACCGATACAGAGAAACTTGCCTATCTCATAGAGGTAAGAGCTGCACCGCTCCCTGAGCACAATACACACCTTCACATTACCCCAACACACTGCCCTGGTTTACAGAGCCATTCATTTTGAATAAATCTTTCTCTTGGTGTCAGGAAAAAACTCATAATTACTGAAAGAAGTATTTGATGTTTGGAATAAACTTCCAGCAGAGGTAGTGAGCCAGTCAACAATAAAAGTTGAATTGAAAAGTCTGGATTTTTATATTATATATTTTTTTGTGCTATAATTATTTTTTTTCATTTGTTGGGACTAATTTCTTCACTTCTTGGGACTTTTTGTATTTCTTATTTATTTATATCAATGAATATATGTCACGGTTTTACAATTGGTCACTTTGATTTTATATTTGCTTTGGAATGTATTTCACCTTTAATTCAGGTAATAAGGATACACAAGGTTTCTTCATACACAGGTGAAACCCGAAAAATTAGAATATCGTGCAAAAGTTCATTTATTTCAGTAATGCAACTTAAAAGGTGAAACTAATATATGAGATAGACTCATTACATGCAAAGCAAGATAGTTCAAGCCGTGATTTGTCATCACTGTGATGATTATGGCTTACAGCTCATGAAAACCCCAAATCCACAATCTCAGAAAATTAGAGTATTACATGCAATCAATAAAACAAGGATTGTACATAGAACAGTATCGGACCTCTGAAAAGCATAAGCATGCATATGTACTCAGTACTTGGTTTGGGCCCCTTTTGCAGCAATTACTGCTGCAATGCGGCGTGGCATGGACGCTATCAGCCTGTGGCACTGCTGAGGTGTTATGGAAGACCAGGATGCTTCAATAGCAGCCTTCAGCTCTTCTGCATTGTTTGGTCTCGTGTCTCTCATCTTTCTCTATGGGGTCCAGGTCAGGTGAGTTTGCTGGCCAATCAAGCACAGTAATCCCACGGTCATTGAACCAGGCTTTGGTACTTTTTCAGTGTGGGCAGGTGCCAAGTCCTGCTGGAAAATGAAGTCAGCATCCCCATAAAGCTCGTCTGCGGAAGGAAGCATGAAGTGCTCCAAAATCTCCTGAAAGCTCCAAAAAAAATACAACAAACAAAAAAAATGGGCAGACTCGATGGACTACTCAGTCTTTTTCTGTTGTCACTTTTCTATGTTTCATCCGAATTTATTGATGCTGATAGCAGAGGAACAAAGCAGCAAACAGAAATGACACTCAGCGCTCTGGATTGAGACAAGTACACACTATAGAGGGATGTGCTTTGGTCATATTTCATGTTTGTGGAAGTTGAAGTAAATACTTTTTTTTAACTTGTACCTACAGGTAAGCCTATAAAAGAAGACTTACCTGTAGGTACAACGAATATCTCCTAAACATGCATGGTTTAGAAAATATTCACTGCGTGAAACTGTGATGAAACTGGCGCATGCGCGCTGAAGGGACGACGTACCTGTGCCTTCCCTTCAGAGCTCTGTACCATTGCTGAAACTCTTGCACACATGTGCTGGAGTGACGTCATCGTGGCTTGGTCAGTCCAAAGGCCAGAGCATGCGATCCCGGAAGGAACGCCAGGTGAATACGGAAGCCCTGTCAGCAGTGACAGCTCACCACTGGAGGACTTCACTTCATAATGTGCTAGTATGTGATGCATACTAGCACATTATGCTATTCTCTTGCAGTTTTTTTTAAAAAAAAAAAAAGCCTGTGGTTTACTACTACTTTAACCCCTTCATGCCGGATCGTCCAGGCGTGAAGAAGAATTCCTGCATCGGGAGGTGGGTGGGACGGGGCGTGGCCTAGTGTCATGTGGCCGCTGTGACGTCACGACCGGTCACATGATCGGGAAAGGTCCCAATCGAAAGAGCGGACCAGGACCTTTCCATGAGTACCTCACATGTGTGCTGGCAGCGCGCAGGGCACGCGCTCTCAGCACATGTTTTTTGTTACATGAATGCAAATGT